TTAGTGTGACTTAAAACTGTCCACAGATAAAATAGAGTAAAGGTGCTGATTCACCAACTCAGACATCTGAATATCAATACATATTGTCTACTATATTATGTAGAATATGTTTTTAAAATAAATTAAACTCGTATTTTTTAAATAGTAATGTCAATAAAAGAAGTATTTACCAAAGTAATATTTAAGTGATATTTGACGTTTAACTCCTAGCTGTCGACCATACATACTTCTATTGGTTCCTAACGATATTCGATGGAGCAAAGTCTTTATATAGATATATTCCACATATATATATATATATTCCAACTATATATATATATATCTTAACTATTATAATTAGTTATGAAGTTATTATAATTTCAGCTTAAAAAGAACTTTAAATCGGTGTACAATGTAAATGTATAACCAGTCCAGCACTATTATGCAAAGCATAATTACTAATCTTTACATATTTTGCTTAAAAACACACATTACATTGTCCTGGTGTTCCATTAATTTCCAATTTCTTCATTTCGATATTTAAGCATTGTGCCAATGAACCGTTTTTTGATTTTTTTTTTTTTATTTAACGATAAATATATCAAAAAAGTGAGTTAAAGAAGACTTTATTCAACACTCCAATGCAAGAAGTTGGTTTTCCGATAGAACAAAATTTAGAAGTCATGCTGATGCATATAGACCTATATTCGACCTAGTCATTCTAATAGAAAAATTTCCTATATTCCTATATAGGACATTTTATATATATATCTTGTATATATATCCTATATACCTATATTCGACCTAGTCGTTCTAATAGAAAAATGTTCTAACATTTTTAAGACAAATGTGCCTGAAAAAGCACATTTTAAATTTCATACTAACATTTTTTGTAAGTATACTGAATTCAAGAAGAACATCATCGTCCTCCTTATATAATGAACTATAAACAAAATTACACAATTGTAAAATTTGATACTACATGTTACTCGTAATTACTCACTGTAAAATTTAATTGTTGAATGGGGAATATCGCATTTCATTTAGAGTGTAAATATCATGTTAGAGACTACATTTATAAAGTTAAGTCAAGTTTTGTGATACAATCTGTAATAGTTCTTTTGTTTTTCTGATATAAGATCACAAAAATGCTTGCAATGTTTTGAAGTTATTTTAAAATGTATATTTTTTATACTACTTACTACTTAGGACGGCAATGGAGAACCGTATATGGTATGGTTATAAGCCATTTTTTAAATCTGTAATACAATATTAGGTTGAATATAATTCTATTTTTATAAACTGTTCTAGCCCATAAAGTTATTAAAAAAAGTGGAACTTTTCAACTTTAATTTTCTTTCTATTTAGGCAGTTAAGATCTCTGTTTAAGAATTCTTCGAAATTAATTGAAAAATCCAGCATCTACTGATTACCGGGTTTCCAGCATAAAGAGGATTCCTTCTGCCTTTAAATGTTAAAAAGTATGAGTATATGCAATTAATAAATTAAGTTCCTAAAAACAAATCCGACTGAGGTTTCACTCTTAATTATTTAAAGTGATTGGTATTGAACACACTAACCCCCATTTCCTTGAAAATTCATCTTGGAGTCTACACTAGGTTTATTTCGCTGGTGAAAATTCGTATAACTAACTTCTTTGTCTATAAAAAAATATGTGAGTGTAAATAAATTAGCAAATAAAGAATTTAGCATTTTTAGATTGGTGCTAAATTCTAATACACACTAGTGTATTCAAACACATTATATTTATTGAAGACATAGATCAATTCGACTTATGCACCACTTATGCCTTTATAAATTTGCCAGAGAGCAATACACTGAGGTAATTGAGAGCTTAAAAAAAATATTATTTCATCGCCAACACTTATCGTCGAGTTAGTGAATGAAGAAGATGTGGATACTATATATTTTTGTATAATTTAATATATCTATTAAAACTGTTATCTTAAAACTGCTTACAATAAAATCCTATATAAGTCTAATTCATGTTAAGTAAAATTTTATGAGTAAATATATAATTAATAAATTTGTATAGAACTCTTATATAGAAGAGTTAGAAGATAAAAGAATTCGTTAGAGATCGAAAATATTTCCCAACCAACCAATACACAAAAAAAAATTAATAGATTACCACGTCCAAGTAATTAAAGAGGAGTAAAAATTGGAGTGAATAATTTCTATTTTAATTTGTACAAATTTAATAAAAAATCATGAGAATCTAACATAATTTACACAACACAAATTAAATAAGCTTGCTCAATATAAACGATGTGAAAATGTTTAAATTAATTATATATATTCTATATGTATATACATATATATGTGTGTGTATCTGTAACTCAAATAATTTATTGAAGTATTTTTAGCTGAAGCCAAAGAAAACAAAAATTATATGGAAACAACATGCAAGAAGCTCAAGAATGATTATTAAATAATTATTATAAAATAATAACGAACCAACTCATGAGTCCGTAACGGTATAAGATATAATTATATGTGATGTAAAAGTATATGTAATCATGTTAAAAATTAGTTAGAATATTTTCTTTAGTCATGTGAAAATAAATTTATTAAGCCACAATATTAAACATAATACAAAAACAAAAAAAAAACAGAGCATTTTAATAAGAACAAGAGAAGAGCTAACAAAGTGAAAATAAGTAAGTAAAAAC